CTAAAAGAAAACTAATAGACTAAAGATTGGTTTGTCACTCTAACCATGTTTCTTCATCTAACCTAAGCTAATTATTTATAAAATCAAGAATATATGAAACCCTAAATAGATAAGTCAAAATAGTGGCTAGCTTTGATCAAATCTCTTTTTAGTTCAACCAAGCTTGAATTCTTGAATGAAGAAACCTTCTTGAAAATCAAAAGTTGAAAGTATTTTTCAAGTTGAAATAGATCTTGTTCCTCTTAGAGACTTTTTGGAGTTTGCCTTCAAGTAGGACTTTTCTTAAAGAGAAAAAAATTTATTTTAAATTTAAATATCTTGTGCATGCCACCTGCTTCTTTAGAAGTCTTCATATATTCATGCAAATCCGATTCTAAATAGAAATAAGTGCAATTCAAGTACATATAGGATTTCCAAGTAAATGTAAGAAAACCAAGGGCCGTTTATACTTTTCTAATTTGATCAAAATTGCCAAGTCATCATGCCACATAAGCTTCCAAGTCATCTATTTTGGCCAATAAGAAAAAACTTGTTGTCATGTCATCTATTAATAATCCCATGCACGCCTATAAAAGCTACCTTGGACTTGCATTCAACATTAAATTACAAATATGACCTTAATTATAGCGAAACATGCTTTCTTGTTTATTGCATCAATTTTTTGAATTTTTCATTAAGAATCAACAATTCATACTCCTTAGGTTAGAGAAAGCAAATCTTGTAGAAATTCATTAATTAAACTTTAAAATTTCTAAAAATCAACAAGAACACATCAAAAATAGTCCAAAACTGCTCCAAATGCACCATGAATCATCTAAAATTGATTAAGAAACTCCAAAATTCTTCAAGATTCACCAAAATTCAATCTTTTCTTCAAGATTTCCTACAAAACAAAAAATTAGCACATTAGAAGTAAAAAGAACCTTATTTAGTAAAACACTAAGCAAAATTAACTCGTTTAAGCACTAAAAACAAGCCTAAATAACTCTATTTCATAGAGTTATCAAATGTCATATAGAGCTTGAGGAATTTCAAGTGGATTGAGAGTGAGCAGCATTTAATGATCTAAACAAGTTGGATTATCATGAAATGACCTGCTGATAAGATATTAGTGAAGGTAAATGGTCGAGTTGTCTCCATGGGTGATAAGGTTCAGATAGGTAAGTAACTTAAAAAAGCAAATATGCATGACGAACGAAGAGTCTGTGTGTTAATTCTCCTTAGACAAATGATGTGGGAGTCAAGAGCACTATGACTTGACAAGTGTGATAGTTGACTTTATTGATTGAGTATTTAGACATAACAATATTTATTGCAAATCAATTTATCATTTTGACAACAAGTAAATATATATAATTGACTAACAATATATATATATATATTTAGGAGCAAGTATTAATTAAGATGTAACTTTTAGATTAGATTATTACTACATTAGCACTACTACTACTATGTTATTTTTTGTTTGTTAATACGCTAGTACTACTATTATATATATAATTTAAAGGTTTATTTTGATGTAAGGTTAATGTATAGATTTTATATATTGTTAGTAAATTAGATAATACCACCTTATTAATGCATTAATTTTTTAAAAAAATATTACTTTTTATATATTTATTTTAAGAGTTAATATTTGTCCATTAATAAAGTGGCATTTGATTCACTAACAGTATGTAGAGTTTATACACTGATAGTATATCAAATTTAACTCTTAATATAAATTCTGTTTTACTTTATATGTATTGTTTAGATTCTACAAAATGAGAAAAAATTACTCACTAATACCATATTTATTATATATATATATATGAGGGATCAACTTACACAGTGTAAATTTTTTTTTAGTTTTATACATTTTTAACCATTGATGTCAATAAATCCAAAGGATGAGACTAAACCATTTTTTTCATAATTTTACTTGTCTCTCTTATATTTTGGCTTTATTAAAACCAAGGGCTAGACAAATGTGTAAAACTTTTTTAGTTTTACATTGTCTAAGCTAATTTGTAAATGAATCTCATCTAAGTTATGAATTAACCTATAATCCAAAATAAAATTCCTTACTCATTTCATCTTCAAATCACTAATCAGTTGTAATTTATTTCACTTTTTTCATTAAAATCTTTACTATTAAACCAAAACTATAATGCAATGATAATATAATAAAAATACAATTTTATTATTAGGAAAATAAAAGAAATGTACTTGCATTGTATGAGAGATTGTAAATAACCTAAATAAAAAATGAGTAGTCAGATAATCATTAAACAAATTCTAAATTGGTGATTCCTTCTAAAATAGTGTTTTTTTTTTTTTTGTTTAATTGGATTGTTAAAACCAAGGGAATATTGTTCTATTTCAATTTGAAGTAACACACCTTTAATGAAATATTTTTCACGGAATGGCTATTGAAAAAAAAAGGTACTCAACAGATCGTTGGCAGAACCTAAAATGGGAAAAAGCCTAAATCTAATATAGAGAACAATTTTTTTTTAAATTAAGTGAAAAAGTATTTATACTTACAATCAAAGGTTAGATAAATGGCCTTTTCTTGTAGAATGAAAATTGAAAAGAATAAATAGATAATAATGAGTAGGGAAGACAACTCGTTATTTACATAAAGAATTTGAATAGTACAAATTCTTCTCCTCTCAAGCTATAAAGACTTTTTTGAAAATTTATTGTCTTTTGAATAAGGAAATAAAATAAATTTTTTAAATAAATGAAAGAGAAATACAAGTACTGAAAAGGTAGCTAATAATAGAAGATGAACCATGATGAGGTATTTTTTGCTCTAAACCCTAAAGGATTAAAGATATAGAAAGGGGATAATTAAACTTGAATGACCCGACAATTTAAAATGAATATTTAGCAACTTAATGGTTTTACATGGCAAATGAAGATTGCATATGTGGCAGTTCACATGTCACAATTCTAGGTAACAGAAGATGAAAATAAATATATGTTATATATATATTTATTGGTGAGATGAGAATAAAGTGATGAATTTATCAATTAACAAATTTTAGTAAGTATAATAATCACACATATATATTAATTCATTAAGTAATACTAACTACAATATATATAAATTAAATAATTTATAGTATTATTTTTTATGACAACAAATGTAATGTTACAAAATGTAATTAGGAAAACAACCGACTAATTCAAGATAATAATAATTATAATAATAAATCCTAGATATTTGAAAAACTCACATCTCACAATGGTGGTATGATTCAAACATACAACTTAATGATTTGAAAACCTTTTATTTATTTCATTTAGTGAGTTCGTTTTTTTATTTACGAAAATTTTAAATTTAACAAACAATATTAGAGAACTTTCATGTAAATATATTTTTAATTGTTTTATTTTTATTTTTTTCATATATTTTAAAATATATATATATGATAATTTTTTAATTTTCTTTGAGACTAAAAACTCTATTAATAATATATACTATGATTTTTTAATTATATTTTTATTGAGATTAAAAAAAAAAAAAAAAAAACAAACAAACACTTTTCCGATGGCTATTAAATCTGTGCGAACCTTTTTACAGAATCTCTTTGAGTGTGGACATCTGTGCAATTTTACGAGTTGGATCAATAATTGGTTTTTTTTTTTTTTTTTGGTTGAATTTGAAGGAATGTAAATGGGTTGTGATTTTGTTTCGTTCACTTTAAAAAAACAATTCACAGCTTGGCCCAATTTAATATGTTAATTTAATAATAAGAATAATAATAATAATAATAATTCAAATCCAAATGCTAAAGAATTCCTTTAATCTATACACAGAAGGTTTTGGACCTTTTTTTTTACTCAGGCCATAGTTATTAAAAGCATAAATTTTCTAATGAGACTTTGATTTAATACTAAATGGAAGGTTTTAAAATCCTAAAGTTTAAGATTTAAGTTTCATTGTAAATATAATTTAATTTTATGTTGGATTTATTGAATTATATTTTAATTTGTAATTGATTATTCAATAATTTTTATAAATATAATATTTTATTTTATATTTGTAATTTCATAAAAAAAAGCGCACACATAAATTCATTTGTCATTTTCTTTAAATTTTTTTTTTATGCTTTGTCGTCTTCTTAAACTTTTTTATGGTAAAAAAAATTGCAATCTAAATACGAAAAAAATAGATAAATATTAAAATTTGATCCTAACTTAAATGTCATCTCTATAGACATTTTAAAACAATAATAACATTTCATTTTATATTAGTAACATCTTTTAAAGTCCCACTTACACTCTTTTTCTTAAATCTTATCTTCTAAAATTGGTTAAAACAACTTTTTGTTTGGTACTTGCTGCGAATTCTCTAAGGTTATTATATAAAATAATATTTTTAATGTATTTGAAGTCATTACATTAATCGTCAACTAATCCATTTAATGAAAAATATTACTATAAATAGAATGTTAATTAATGTTAAAAGTTAAAAAAAAAAAAAAAAAAAAGCAAATGTTAAAGAGTTAAGACATTTATTAGCACATTTTGTAATCGTTAGATAAAATTTAAATAATTTTGAAAATTAAGATTTCTTTAATTTAAAGATTAAAATAATTGCAAATATTAGTAATGACATTCGAACAGGTTTTTTTAACCTTATACAAAAAGGCTTCTCTCTCGTTTTTGGATAATTGCATCTAAATGATTTTTTATTATTAACATAAATATATATATATATATATATGTAAATAGATATATTATTTTCATTAAGTGAGCAGTATCGCATATGATTCTTTAAATTTATAATAAAAATTTAAGCGTGGAATATCATGTAAATAAAGATTGGATTAAGCGTATATTAAAATTATTTTAAAATAAGAGATAAATGTATTATTCTTTTTTGAGCGAATAAATATATTATTTTAAAAAATAGAAATTGAAGAGTAAAAGTAAATTAGGAATTTTATAAAATAAAAATAAAAATATATAATAAATAGGAGCGGGTAATAATGATATAGTATAAATAATAAACAAAAAAAAGGTGTAGAATGGAGAGCGAGGGTTTTGCGGAGTTGGAAGGAAGATTGGAATACCAAACCCTCGTTCGCCGACTCTCTTACAAACTAACAACAGCTGCCGCTGCTGCTACACCAAAGAAGAAGAAGAAGAAGAAGAAGAAGAAGAAGAAAAGGCCCTTTCTCTCTTTTAGCTGTATATATAAAGATCTATATCTGCTTTCGTCTCTTGGTTAAAGGGAAAAGAAGAAAACGAGAAGAGCAGAAAACGCAGGCAGAGGCAAAGGCAGAGGTAGAGGCAGCTCATCCTTAATTTTCTTTGGGTAATCAGAAACAACAGAGAAAAATAAATGAATATTTTTTAATCCATTCACTAATCTTGAAAAAGTTTTTGCTGCAGTTATATTACAAACAACTAAAACGAGCATGGGACTGGAATTGCCAAAAAACCCAGATATGGACCAAGACAACGTCGTCAATTTCACTGATTCAGAAATAGTTTCTCATGTCAAGGATGCTCTCACCTCTCTCCTATCCGTAAGCGCAGACCGACACTACTCTAAACTTCCTATTGGCATTCAACTATCAACTTTTGTCACTGCTTATTAACTTGGGATTCCTTTTTCAGGGTGATAGCAACAGTTACAACCAGCTTGTTGGGGTCATGCACCATTCCAAACAACTTGCCCCTGATGAGGTCGCCTTACTTGAGGTATCCTTCTATTCATTCTTTATTATTATTATTATTATTATTACACACCACAATTGAGCTCTCTAATCTTAGCTTAATACTCTCTTCCCATTTATGAATTATGCATCACAGACTACTTTGAAGGCACTAGCTGGGGCAGTATCTTGTATAGATATTACTCTTCATGACTCCCTTCTTTCTGCTGTAAGTTTTCTTCTTTCTCTTTCTTTTTCACCTTACCTTCGTTAGTGTGGTCCCCCCAACTTGTTCCTTGACGATTTTCCAGATTTTTAGTATGAGCTTGTGGAACTATGGCCCTCATGTCGCTGATGCACTAGTTGAACTCATTGTATCCCTTGTATGTGCAATTTATACCCCCCAAGTCTCGTTTTTATCTACTTTACCTTCTTCTTCTTTTAAAATTATTTTCCTTTGGATTGCATTGCAGGCTATTTCAAATGGAAAATATCTTGATTTATGTCTGGGCATGCTTGTCAGCAATTTTACTCCACCGCCTTATTTCTTAGATAAACTAAAACTACCACGCGGTCTTGAGAGGAAGGGCCAAGTTCTTTCTCGGGTGCATGCTGCTTTTAAAAAGATTGCTGATTATGTTCCTCTTGCCCCCTTGAGATTATTGACAATGGTACAACAAGGAATGCCAACAGTTTATCATAAAGACCGAGTAAGTTGAATTTGCTCTTCCAATATGGAGTTCTGATATCTTTTGATTTTCTAGTTGTTGCATGTTACTGGCTGGAAAAGTCCATGCTCTTATGGTTTATGCTTAAGCAGTCAATTCTAGCCCCTAGCTATATGAGGATGTAAGATACCATTGTTCCACTATTAGATGTCTGGTTAGTTTGGTGAAGTTCCTAAATGCAATTTCCTATACAATTTTATCAAACGTTATGGTGCTTTGGTGCCTGCTATTGCCTCCTTTTATTATCGAAATTTGTTAGACAATTAGATCTGAAACTTGTCCACTTGTCCTTGTAGGCAATTCTGATTTATGTGGAGAACATGTTAACATTGGAGAGTGGTGAAATTGGAGAACTTGTTGGAAGCACAATGCTTATGGCTGTGGTGGACCGGCTGATAGAACTAGATGTAAGTAAATTTGAAGTTTCCTTAGAATTTTGCGCTTAAGACTATTGTTTGGCCTTGTGTTTTATAATGTAATGTACTGGAATTTCTTAATAGTTGGAGATTGGATGGGATGCCATTTTACAAGATGACTTTAGTAAAGGCATATTTGAGATGGAGCTAGAAGATTTGGAGGACATTGTGGATAGTGCTGAGCCAGACATTGGAGAGGTATATTCAACTTGTTTTTGTTTTTTAGCGTGCATGTGATGTCCCAAGGTGGTCAAATAAGTAGGGTCGATGAATTATTGGTCATCCTTATGCAAGTTAATATTTTTCTAAAGCTCTAGGAACCAATTTGTGATAATTTAGTTTGCATATGATGTAAAACTGATACAGAGTTCAATTTGCAGTTTCGACTAAGTCGTAAAAGTCTGGCTGGAAACAGCATTGCTGAATTGTTAGATAACCTACTGGTTTTAACCTTTGAACATCTTGAATCTTGCGAAAGGGCTGGCCGTTTGGCTAAGGTATTTTGTGAAGTTAATGTTTTCAGTTTCCCCTCCCCCTGTGTCCCTTCTTCCCAATCCTGTGTTGATTTTGTTTAATTGCTGTTGTAGGTATTTGAAACTCTTCTCCGGTCATTTCTGTTGACAGTTATGACTGCCTACAAGTCAAAATTTACTCAGGTAATGCTCATATTGTCATTGTGTAGCATTTCATATTATTTTGTTTCTCAAGATTTCTGTTGGTAATTCTTGGTGAATATAATATTACTATTTATTTATATATTTTCTTAATACCAGCATTAAGACCTGCATGACGTGGCTAGTAACTCAATTTAAGTTTCTTTTACCTAATGTTTGCAGTTTGTGGTTTTCTATGCTTGTTCATTGGATCCTGAAAACTGTGGTATGAGATTTGCCATAATGCTGGCAGATTTATTTGTTCAAGACTCACACCCACAATCAACTAGGTAATTTTTGTATTATCTGAAAGATTTAATTAAATTAGCTTTTTCTTTTGAGTTGTGGGCATAAATTCCTTTGAATTTTAAATATACCTACAATTTCATTCATGTATTCTCCAACTCTAATTCTTCCTCCCTTTTTTTTTCTCTTCTTTTCTCTGTGTGAGCTGCAATGTAGCTCGATTTTGTGTTCTTTTGAACATAATTTGTCTTGTTTTACTATGCTTCATGTCTAACAAAGTAAAAGTTGGATTTTAGATCAGTCTGCCTCAGCCACTTGTTAATTAGTCTTTTAATTTGTGTGCACTTCTCAGGAATTTCATGTGCCTACTGAGCAAGGAAAGTCTATACATGTTACCTAGAAAATAAAGGCTATTTTACATGTCTAACTGTCAACTGAATATCAATGAGACATTTCCATCTTGTTGCCTCGAAAATAAAAGCCTATTTGCACATATGTTTTCCTAGATTACCAATCTATTGCTTGGTTTGAAAATTAGGAAAAAGAAAGTACCCCTCCCCTCCCCCTTCTTCGCCCTGCTTCTTGCTTTTTCTTTGCTCTGGATAGAATGTACTGATTTGAATTGCTTAAATGCTAAAACTGTTAAATTATGTATAATATAGGCCTAAAACATGTGTGGGGGCGTCAGTTTTGAACTAATTAATTTCTGTTTTATGCAGGATGAGTTCTGTGGCTTATCTTGCTAGCTATTTATCTCGAGCAAAGTTTCTGTCAGCCTCTTTTATTTCTAGCATGCTAAAAAGGTTCTACATTATAATCCTTGAGATCCATTTTCTTTAACTGACTTCTAGCACTGTTCTGACAACTTAGATGGTGTGAATGAAAGTGTGGATGTTCATCGCTGATGTATATCTTACTTTTATGAAATTTAGGTTGGTTGATTGGTGCTTGGAATACTGCAACACCCATGATGTTGATATAAATCCAAATGCACATCGAGTTTTCTATTCTGGATGCCAGGTTGATGTTCTAACTCTTGAAGGCTTATACTTTATTGAAAACAACAGATGCTAAGACCTGTAAAAATAATAAAATTGTTTCGAGGAAAAAAAGAATTATTAAAATATTATTTGCAATTGGATTGCATGATTTCATTGTTTGGGAGGGTGAATTTATTCCCTAACCTGTCTTTCACAGGCCATTATGTATGTTCTCTGCTTTCGTATGAAAGTTTTTATGGATGTTCCGCGCTTGAAGTCACAGCTTCTCATGCCACTGGAACAAATCTTAAAGCATAAATTGAATCCTTTAAAGGTAAGGAATGGCTTAGTTATTTGGCTTAAATTTCATAATGATAACAGCTTGCAGGTAAGCTATAACATGGATTTTAGTAATCCTTAAATTTTTATTTATTCTAATGGAGTGTTTGGTCTATGTTTGGACCTCCCAATTTTATTTTTTTTGTCACATGAACATGCTTAAGTCAATCTCAAATATCCATTCGATTTTTCCAGTCCAATCCCAATCATCTATCATAAACAGGTATGCCTTCCATCTGTAGTGGAGGAGTTTCTGCGACAGGCAAAAGCTGCTTCTCTCTTTACTGTGTCCAAAACATTCATTTTTGATGGCCTGCTAGAGTCAGAACTTTCAAGGGCATTTGGTGGCCTGGAAAGGCTTGATACATTCTTTCCTTTTGACCCATGTTTGCTGAAAAGATGTGACAGGTTTGCATTCTTCATTTTTTAATTTATTTAGTATGAGCTCTTTTTTCTTTAGTTTGACGTCTATAATGAGAAAATTTTCTGGCCCAAAAGAGGGAGGGAGAGGGAGAGGGAGAGGGAGAGAGAAGGAATGTTGCTAAGATGTGGCCTGAAGTATGTCTTTGACCACTTAGGGAGCTGGGCAGCCAAAATTGTTTCAATGATTTGGGTCATTCTTTTTATTTTTTTATTTTAAAAGAAAAGGTAATTGTTAGAAAATTCAGAAGCTGGAAATGATTGCCATATGTCATGTCAGGATTTTTGAGAATAAACTAAATGACGTTCAATGAATTTGATTTAAGTGATTAAACCATGTTTTGTTTGCTTTTTGGGTGTCCAAGAAGTCTCTTAAGCAAATGATGGTCTATTATGTATTTCAGAATTTGGTTCAACCGACCAATCCTTGCAATTTTTTTTTAAAACAAAAATATATAGAGTGCATGAGTGAATCTTACTTTCTTCTGCTTTGCTGACAAAGTGCTATTTTTCTTTTTCTTTCTTTCCCTTGTAATTCCAAAAATTGAAGTTTCATCCGTCCAATGTTTGTCTTCTGGTCGATGGTAAAACCAACATATGAAGATGCTTATGATGATGAAAATGATGATGGCAGCAGTGATGATGATTCGATTCAGGATTTTGCAAATGAAAATGAGGATATTATGAATGATGTTGGCAAGAGCTTTGATGAGCAACAACTTGATCTTGATGAATTTGATTGTGCATTGAAGAAAATGTCAATCACGCCGAAGAATAGCTTTGGTTACAAGTTTGGTGGTCGATTTCAAGAACCAACAAGAATGCCTTCGAGAATTAGGCCCTCTACAAGTCCAGAGTCATTATGATTGTCAGATGATGTTATGTATGTACCATGTATGTGCTAGTATTGATTACGTAGCTGCTAAGATTTACAGAAGTTAAAATTTCTTTTCAGATTTCAGTATTTTTGTTCTTTTTTATCTTATTACTTTTCTTTTGTGGCATTCAATCTACTGAGTGTGTAACAACAACCTTACCGATGAAGGTATGGCTCTTTTGCCGCTATCTACGTGGGTGGGAGAGCTTGCTAGTTAACATAATATTTGTTTGTTTTGGCCGGAAGTACATGTCTTTAGTTGAGAGAGATGCTGAGGGGAACTGATAATTCGTGTATTGTGTACGTATTGCATGGTCAAATGCATGTAAAATATGAAATTTAGTCAAATGCCTGGAAAACATTATGTTGGTGTTCACATTTCAAACATAAATATGTTATTTAGTTTTTATCAATTTCATAAATAAATTTTCTTAAAATTTTTAACTGTATCATTTTTTTGGTATTATTTTTGTGTTTATTATATTTAAATTTAAAATTGTCAAATTAGGAAGGGGGAAAAGCGCGGGCCAGATAGAGTAGGTTCGAACCTCTTCCCAAGACGGAATTGACATCTGAGCTAAAGTCTTTTGTGGCCAAAAATTAGACGGGCTTTAATAATTGCCTATGGGTCTTTTATTTAAATTAGTTTTTTGGGTAGCCGAAGAGACTTATTAGACGTAAGTCATATTTGGTTTAAAAGAAGATAATATCAATTCAAATATCAGTAGGAAGAAAAACGAATTTGGAAATAAAATATCCGAAGGAAAAGGAAAAACGGGAACGGTTTGAATGTCTAATTACCAATGGGGTAATGGTCAGAACCAAAAGGCTAAAAGCACTTAGACTGAACTGTACCATTGCAGCTTAACAGCAGTCTGCTACTACTGGCTAGATGTAGAAGAATACGATACAGCTTAGAAGACCTAGCTAGCATGCAAGCAGAGCAGCTGTCTGTTCTGCATCTCTTTGTAGTCACTACCGCTGATAATCTGCATCCCAATCCACCCTCTGCTCAGTGAGTTTCACCAACCAGAGTGTAACGAGTCATTTATATTACAAAATTATAATAGACTTCAGAAAGATAATAACATGATCAACAATCCATACAATGTTTGTCATATCTTTTAAGGTCTCCGAGCGTATAGATGCTTTGGCTTGCCAACAACAAATAACAAGAACCACGACGGGGACCTAAATTCCCCAGACCATTTCACGAGATATATCTAAATTTTGTTTCTTTATTCTGTAGCACCAACAAGGAAAAACTAATTGATATCTCCAAATTGGTCGCTTATGTTTGACCAGAAAGCTTTAGCCTCAAAAGACAAGATTTAACATATATTAATAAATATTGGTAGTAATCACAACGTAGGAATAGAATTTAGTCTGCTATAATAGACTCCAGCCCTTGGTCTGTTATACCAGCCATTTTGCAATGAGGCTTGGAAGGGAAAATGAAAACAGTAGATGCAGCACTAGAGGGCTGAAATCGAGCTGAGTATCTCACAGATGTCAAAGAAATTCTGGGCAACTGTTGCAAACCTGAGGCAAGAGGCACTACTTTGTAATAAAGGACGTGCTCAGATTTTGGAAGAACAAAAACCGTGTCACTGTGAGACCCAGTTAACACAAAACTTTGTGAATCAGCCAATGAAAACTTAACCTCTTGAAGTAACTCTTTTTGGTTACGAATTTTAACACAGAACACGAAGGGATCTCCAAGGATGGCATAAGGAGGACAGTCCAAACTCACGACAATTGGTGACAACTCTACATGTACATCAGGAAGTTCGTGTTTAGTTAAAACATGAGCATCTGTCACAGTCAAACCAGATCTATCTTCAATTCCACAATGCCTCTTCCATTTTAGATGGACCATCCCCAATCTAAGCTTTGAAGAATCCACCTGAGGAATGACAGTAAAAACCTTCTTGAACTCTTCTCCTGGCACAAGAACTGCAGTTCCAAGATCTTCACCTCCATGTTGAATGGACCATGACTTTTCAATGCCATCATCATCAACTTCAATAGCCATGGATAACAGCTGCAATGTGACCTCACTGCAGTTCTTGGCACTAACAACAAGTACAGTTGTTTCATGCAGGGGTAGTGATACAAACTTAGAGGAGTCAGAGACCGGCTTGATCCTTGAAAGCAACAAGGAATCCCTGCGGAACGGCAGCATAAAATGTTGGCTAATTAAAACAGCATTCTTTCCTTCAATTCGCAAGGTCTTGTGGACATTGACTTTTTGTGCATTCAACTCATTGGAATTTGGGGAATAGCCCAATGATACAAAAAGCATAACTGGCTTGGGTCGGTGCCACATGATTTCTAGTTTGCAGGACCATGATTCTCCAATGTTTAAAAATGGAACAGAAACCAATCCAAAAGATTGTTGAATTTTCTTGATTTTATCAGGGCCCCTTTGAGATTCATCTTCGCCTTCAGGTCCAACAATGCCAAGAAGCTCAACATGATGACTATCCATTGAAAATGGCTCAGATTCCCTGGGACTAAACAGCCCACCTCCTCTAACATCCACAAGATTTATCTTCATTTCACCAGCATATATGGTGTGGTCCCTGGAGGCTATGGTAACTGGTACCAGAAATCTCTCTCCAACTAATGCAGGGCCAGAAGCACCAAGAGTGACATCCACTTGTGGGTCAGGTTCTTCAACCTGGGTAGCCTTCTGACCTGAGAATGATAGAGCAGGATCCTTTGTGGGGAAAGTTTCCACACGGTCTTCAAACTTCCAAAGAGGTAAATCATCCATTGAAGCAGGACTCTCAGCTCTGCAGCAGATTGTGAAGTGGGGTCCCATTTTTGCAATAACAGATAAGCATTCAAGCTTTCCACTTTGTTCTGAATAATTTGAACATTGTCTTAATGAACAGTAGGTGGATTATTATGCAGGAAACCATGGTGCTAATCATAATAAAGAATTTGCAGTACAAGGGAATGCATGCTGAAAGAAGACTTTTCCATAATCATAATAAACCATGTGATCTCATAAGGTTGTGGCTAAAATAAGAACTAGCAAGACTTTTCCATTGAAATATGACTTTAGCCTTTGAATCTCTTGGTGAGCAAACAAGAATAAGCTATCCATTTGATAGAACTTTGAAGAAGACAAAACTGAGAAACCACACAAGAAGAGAGAAAATTTATTATTGTCAGCCTGATGTACCCTTTTTCTTTTGCTTCCACTCCCTCTCTCAGACACAGAGATACAGACATGCATATATGCAGACACAATGAGCAGACAAATACACCAGAACACACAATATTGATGCTTAAGGGGCACTGAAGTTGTTATCTAGGGTGCAGCAGTATTGATTTCATATGGCTTTTGGGATTGACAATTTTAGGCAAACTTGTGAAATCTACAATGATTCCTTAAAATCACTCAATTTGATAATGTATTAACTATACTTAAACTTAAAGGTTAGGTCAAAACATGCAGCTGCAATGCTGTAACAAACTCATTGGGAATTACAGGCTATGTCACGCAACAGCATGTAAAAACTATTAGAATTACAGGAGAAATCATTCTTCTCATATTTGCAAATTTGAGGACTGCCTAGTTGAAATGATTGTTATCCATGTAGGGTCATGTGCTAGGTCTTTATCAGATGAACCTAATGCACGGTGGAAACAACTAATTCATAAAATAACAGCTGACTTACCAGATTTGATGTCATAAGTTAGGCGCAGCCATTTGTTTGGAACAAGTGCTAGAGAAGGAGCACTCTCCACTCGATGATCATGTTGCTCACTGGGCACTGCTTCTAATGGACATTTTTTGGCATTCATGATGATAAAATTACATTCAAATTGATTGAATTGGACTTCCAACTGATCAATCTCAATGGAAAGGGGTAACTGTGCTAAAAGTGATAATGTAATCAAGGAGGAGACACCAGACTTTATTATCTGTTCATGAAAAGCCACTGAAGCAAGAAGTACTGATCTGAGGGGACTAACAAGATCAATCTCAAGATGAAGGGTATTATCTTTGAGATCATCTGTTCCATCAAGGGATATTGGTCTAGCTTCTCCACTTACAAGTGCAAAAATTTCTGTGTGTATCATATCTCTCTGTTCAAGACTTGCAGGGCCTCCTGGACCACATTTGGACGTCTGGATGCTACCAATGGTAGATATTGGCAATGCAGCCATTTCAAGAGAAAATTCTACAAACTCTTTTACTGCACCTTGTTTCCTTGAGCACTCTCGCAAGTAACCCAAAACCTCCCACAACAAAGTAACCCACCCTTCTTGCCTATATAGATTCGCAACACCATCAAACAGCTGTTTTGCATTGCCGAAATCACCCAAAGAAAAATATTCTCTACCAATCTGAAATGCACAAAGAGAACCCATCCTCTGAACTTTAAGATTAGTATACATTTCATGAGACTTTTTGAGCAAAGCAATAATTTCAAAGGAGTCTTGAAACCTTTTTCCCTCTGCAATCGCATAAAGGGTGTATTCATCATCGGTAAGGCTGCATAGTCAGATGAGAAGACAAATTCAAACATCCATTACAAGGAAAATGGTACAAATCAAATCAGACTTTTTGGGCATTAATTTTCCAAGACTTACAACTGCATAGCTAAATCATCCCCTTGCTCAAGTAACCGAGCAAACTGACCAATATAAATCGATTGTACCACAGATTCAGCACTTCCATCATCATTATCATTAAAAGCTTCTGATATTGACACTGCCAACTCCAGAGAAGATCTCTTCTCCTCCAAGTGTTGAGCTGCTGACTGTTGCAAGATGAATGTTGTGATTCAACTAAGTTACATAAGAAAAGAGAATTCTAAATGCATGTTCAATCTCACCAAAGTAAACCAAAAAGAATAAGAAAACTGAGAGTGAGAGTGAGAGAAGTGGTAATGTACATATACAGTTAATACGTAACATATTAGCTGGTAGCCTGGTACCTATCCTTAGCCCCAAGAAGCAATGTTCAATTGCTATAGTGGCCCATGAATAAAAAATAGTAAAATCCCAGCAACAAATGTATGGGTACTCGTTGACCTCCATTGCTTCTAAGGGTTTGCTATAAGCAAGGTAGCGAGACTTGCATGGAAAAGCTCTAAAAGAAAATGGCTCATGGGAAGCAAGCAAAACTTTAAACAAAAGATCAGGATGATATGACGGTACAGACCTGATAGTAATAAGCTGGATGGAATTCCCATTCAGTTAGAGGTTGTTCTACAGTGCCTAATGGCAGAGAGGAAACGCTTTGAAGAGTAGCAGAGCTTGAGTCAAGCAACTCAGCGAAAACCAAAAACTGTCTGCTCAGCCATTCCCAGTGAAGAAAAATAACTTTAGGAGGTCCAACAAGGTTCTTGTAGGAGACAATATGCTGGCGGAACCATGTAACCGCTTCGATGAGCTTTCCACCATGCAACAACAAAGTGGAAATCTTGAAATGCAAGTGTTCAGCAACAGTTCTGATCTCAAGTAAGCGTTGTATGGGAGGCAATCTTGTTGAGGTAGCAACCATCTGCATGCATAGCATAGATATAGTAGTAGAGTAGTGGCAAGTAGAAAAGACTGAGAGTAATTAGTATCAGTATGAAGATTGTAAGGAAATAGATTAAGTAGGGAAAGAACCTCGCGCAGAGCATGATAGGCATCCTCATAAAACCTCAAGGCTTCAACCCAGTCTCGTCGGAACTCTGCATATACAGCAACCTACCCATTTTGTGCATGACAAAGAAATGAGCAAATACTGTATGGAATGAACAATGAAAAGTAAGGAAAGCTAATCTTTTATTAATACTTTGAAACAGTAGCGAACTTGGAGGTCGAGAGAGGACAAATTCTTCTTTTCAATGGGAGCTTTAATCCTGCGACCTTCATCTCTGTAAAAGGTAGTTGCTAGTTCCGCAAAGCTGGCGCCCAACCTGACATTAGAATGCATATATTTATATATGTATATAGTGGACAGAAATTAATTTAACGATGAATATAAGTATTATTAGGGAAAAAAAAAAAAAGAAACAAGAGCACCTTTGAAGAGAGTTGTTGAGTTGAGAAGGATCGGGGTTGAAGAGGAGTAGATACTTGGAATCCACCTCTGCTCGCTTCCGTAAGGCAAGCAGACGATCTTCACTAATTTCATCCGATTGCCCTACCACCACAAGTAGCAACAATTTGATGTTCCTTGGACGAATAGCCGCTTTCAGCTCATCCAGATCCGAGCATACTTGGACCCACTGGGCAGGGTCTCCAGACACATGATCCCATAAGAAGAGGGCCCCCACCACTGCAGGGATCTTGGTCCTGTGCTTGACCAGCCAATCCCTTTTTAAAATGCCGGCAGCAGAAGAAGATGATGAGGACTTGGAGGAGCGATGAAGAAGAAGGGAGAGCTTGGAGAAGTGGGGTAAGGCCAAGGTGTTGATGGGAGGCTGCTGGGAGAGGAAGTGGGTCGATATCAACCCATGCTGCTCTGGGCATCCCACCAACGCCACCAGCCGCACTGGTGGACTCCTAAATTCTTCTGGGTACTCTTCCATTTAGGAATTGTCTATGCCTTTTTCTTTCTTCTCCGCACTTTGATTCTCTCCCTCTTACCATGTATATTCTTAATAATAACTGGATAGATCATAGATGATCTATTTCTTATGTTGGGTTAGGCCTACTCTCAGTATCCACTTTTGGGCTTCTCTTACACCCACATCCCCACCCATCATAAACCAAACTCAACCCAACCCAACTCCTTCCTTTCGTTTTTGGTTTCAGTTGATCTTGTAATTTTAATCAATGACACATTTTAAAAATAATATTAAAAAACTACAAAAGCGATTCATTTTAAAATTTTAATAAAAATTATTATGTATTTAATAAAAATTAAAAATATATTTTATATTTAATGTATTAATATAAATTATAATAAAATAATTTTTATATTTTATACTGATACGAAACAAACAAAAATATTAAAATGACCTCATTTTTAATAAGTACAAACAAAACTTACTTACAGTTTTAAGCCCAAATGCACAATTTAGTTGGAGTTCCTAAAACCTTTTATGTTCCACTTAATGTAAGGATGAGTAATTAGTTGGTTCGGTTAGTTCAGTTTGAAAAAATTAATAATTAATTTAATTTACTTTCATTCAACAAATAATCAAATCGATCAAAAATTTTTAAATATCCGACCATAATCGAACTAATCAAAAATCGATTTAGTTCAGTCGGTTATGTTAAATAACCAAAATTTTTTATTATTTTTTTCTATTATGAATAATTATTTAATCGTAAATTCAATTCAATAAAATTCAAACTCAAGTGTCATTTAAACTAAATCATTAAAAAATTTAATAATTTCAACAATATTTTACAAGAAAAAAATAAATAAAAATATTTATCTCAATTTTTTTAACTTATAAAAAGTTAGTTAATTCGTCAGATCGATTATCAATTTTAAAAGTTAAAAAAATGATCAAGTAAATCGATTTAACCGATTTAAAAAATCAATTATAACCAAAACAGAATAAAACTGAACTGAATCAATCGAATTCACTTGATTTTGGTCAGTCTAACCGTTCAAATCAACTTTTGCTTACCCCTAATTTAATGGGTGTTGTCCAAACTATTTATTTGATAAAAGTTAAATACTAAACTGCTATCTAATTTTACATTACTTATGCATGCAAAATGCAAGCCAAGCTATCTAGTTTATCAATTAGCCTTTCAAATTTGGTTCTAGAATCTGAATCATGTTTTTTAAGTAAAGATGTAGCAATATTGCATAACATAAGCAAAGATTATAAGAAAGAAGCAACTTTTGAATGTGGTTTTATTCAATAGGCAATGCAATAAATAGGTTGAGTACATTTTCAAGGATGAAATCATGGGGTTTAGCTCTACAGATTACAATCCACTGTCTTTTTCTATGTCTTGAAGAAGATGAATATAAGGATCTTTTATTTTTTTTTTGTCAATTTTCTCATATAATGTTTTCCATATCTCCTCTATTAGTAGAAATGCAAAATCTTTACCAATGAGTCAAATGATTTAGGTTGGGCAACACTAATCATCTGTAAGCACTTATTTAAGATCATTGTGTAAAAATTAGAACACCATACATCAATTAAAGAAATCAGGCATACTTGTTTGAGTAGTCATTATAAAATTGTAAAAGCAAAACGATCCCTAAAATGACTATGGTCTTTCTCTTCACTCTTCTCTCGTTAGTGGTTTCTCTATAGGTAGTTACCAGATATGAGAAATGAAAAGGGGATCTTAGCCTTATATTTAAATAACCTTAGTAACCTCTCCATTAAAGACTTACTGAATCAAATGTCTACACAACTATTATACTACACTGAACCAATAAGATGTGCAAAGCTCACACTTAGGTGATCACATTAAATTAATTAGGTTTTTATGCTTGTCTCGTATTAGGACTAAATCCATTAGCCGATTTTATTAAATTAAAATCTCTAATTAATAGTAGCTCACTTATGAAAAATTCTAACATTCTTCCATTTGAGCAATATTAATTAGGTTGTTTGATTTTAAGAAAACTTGACTTGAAAACAAGACTACAGGTTGATTTACTTTACTTTGATGTGGTCACAATTTTAAAAACAATTTAGCCCCCTTAAGACAACATCTTAATGATCCTGTCTAATAAAACCATCTAATACCGAATCATGCTAACCAATATACCTTTTATTGACAAAAGAGCAATCCATGGTTACAAATACCAAAAACTCTACTGACAAAAAATCTTAGCGTGACTATGTAACAAGGAAATAACATCTAAATGTGATCTCAACGTGTTATTTTCATTGTTAGTCCTGTTACTAATTTCTCTAAACTTGTTGATAAATCTTCATGGCATCCAGATATGCTTGTATATCTCTTATTTATCCTCGAGGTTACTTGTTGGTATCATTTATGAGACATATCCAAATGATATTAAAGTCATACTTAAAATAGATACCAAGCCTTAAGATTTTATAATTTGACATATCAATATGAAATGTGCACATGTAATAATAAACATATATACAAATGACAACTATAATGTATTTATAAAATAATTATGTCCACTTAACTTGATGGTACCTTATGGACTAATTCATTTTAAACTATATCTTATAGGTAATTAGCAATCACATGTGATGCATTTTACAAAGTATAGAAACCCAAAACAATAATGGTTTCAAAAGCAAATTTACAATGCATCAATTGCCATAATCAACCCAATATCTTAACAAGTTCTATTTTCCAAACCTATAAATTTCCATATTATGAGCTTGGTAATCCCATTATCCTCACATAGAGAAAATATGTCATCATGTAATTAAATATAATGACTCTCACTGATCCAGTGAATCACAAACACGATCTAATCAAACTTTGAATAATAATAAGGAGCAATTCAATAAATGGAGTCATAACATAATTATGTATTGTTTGCCCTCATGCCAAGTGTGATAACCACTATGTTCTTAGACTTCCATGATGTTACTTCAATAAACCATTTACAAATTACTAACATATTATGAACAAAATTTCATATTCATGATCATACAACACAAAATCTTAATGTTTTAACACGAGATCATTTTCAATAAATTTGGAATTCATTGAATTATCAATCTTTTATATCTAAAATATGTCTTAATTAATAGCTTATTAACTCCCACTAACCTAAACACATATGATATCTCCAAAACAATAACTTTAGGGCATTTATCAGTTCTTGCTACTTTAAAACATATGCAGACAAACTCTCACTAAATTTCACTTCCTTTAAAAGAATAGTTTTAGCAAAAATGTCAAGATCTTTATATTATCATTTTTTAAAATAACTCTCAATATTTGTTCATATATAATTTAAAACAAAAAAGTGAAATGAAAGAAGATTTTAAAATTCTTGTTCTTTTTCAAAATTAAATCAATAAAATTTGGAAAAATTATCAAGAAAGGAACTGAACCAATTAAAAACAAAACAAATAGTTTACATATTTGTACAAGACTTCATTCCTCAAAACTTTCACACGTATGATAAGTATAAAATAATATTCTTCCCCTTAAGTGTGAGTTCCTTAAAATAAAATATTAAATTTTTTAAAAAAACACATTGTCAACAAATGAAAACAATATGCCTTTTAAAATTGGTAACTGCTAGGTTTGATAATGGTAACTAAAATAATCAAACAAATATCTCAATTAAAAGTTAAACAACCAAAATAAATATTTATTAAAATAAAATTATATTTCAGCAACTCTCAATTGTACTTAAAACAAATTGAGATATCATATCAGGTCTAAACTTTTTTATATGGAAGCTAACTTTCTTGGCTATCATAAAATACTATACAATAAATGTATATCCTCAGATGTGAAAAATCAAAGTGACCAACAATTTATACATTTACTATGTCATACAAAACATTTGAAAACTTATCACTCATGGTAGACATTAATTTATGATGACATTTTTTTCAACATATTGAAATTGAATACAAAGGTCAATCAATGATCTAAGCAGATGAGACTTTAATCAAGTTAATATCTTTACTACTCTTATCAAAACAATCCAGGTGCCACATCAAAAATTTAATTTTGGACTTTTTTTAAAGAAAACATTATTCTTTTATGTAATCACACCTTAAAACAATGAAAAAGATAAAACACTTTTGAAAATATATCCCTTTTGGATAGATAAATTCTATAGGTCTATATATATTTTCACTTCATAAAATATTTCATAATTATCTCTAAATTAAAAACATATAATCATCCCCTTTGAGCAAGTAATCACATGTAGTAACTCAAAGACAATCCATGACAACATAAGAATTTTTATTATCATTATAATTCTTATGTCTATTTATACATGTAATCATTCTAAACAAGATATTAATCTAAATGTACCTTTATAGATCATTAAAAAGTTAAAACTCAAAATGCCCGTTATCATTTTATGTACCTTAAAATTTTCAAGTCATGCTATATAATCATACTTTCAATCAATAGAAATACTTAGCATGTCATATTACTAAGTAAATTGTCTTAACAATTAATAATACTTTATTATGATATTTCAATTTTTCAAGCATGATTATAAGAAATTTTAAAATAAAAAAAATTGACTTGCCACAAAGAATATCTTCCAATGCAAATACTTTATACATGAGATTCAATAAAGTTTATAATTTCATATCATAAGTTTCAACATACAATATATGATGAATGTCAACAATGCATATTTTTCTGGATAATTATATATAAACAATGATTATGGTATAAACCAATCTCATGTTCATATAAAGAATATAATATTTTCAATATTACTAAATACGAGTTGTGACAAAAAGATTAAGGCCAATTAACCAAACAAGTCTTAACAACATCACATTTTAGTTAAAACTTTTAATATTTTGAAAATTACAAAACTAATTTTTGCCTACTCTTATAGTCCGAAACTTTTACTCATATCCATTTACTTTCACAACTCATTTATTTTTATTACTTAGGATATTTATGGTAATAGTTACCAAATTTTATGATACCAAAAATATGCTCCAAATACTTACTAAGAATTAACTTTTTACTTAATGCTCTTTCAACATATTATAATATCAATAT